GTTGTAATTCATCAGCTGGGGCGTCGGACTGGGGGGGAAAGGGTACCGTTTACCCAGGGCCCACTGCAGGGAGGGGCCCTGAGACAGCTTTGAATAAAAATGTTTTATTGTTGTTGTTTTTCCCCCCCAACTTACTTAATGTCTTAATAAACTTCCCTTTACCTGGATAAAGAGGATAAGAAACAGAATTTCGCCTTAAAAATAATAACTGTATAATCTCTGAGGCATCTATCACCAGTGTTGGGAACGTTACTTTAAAAAAGTAATTAGTTATAGTTACTGATTACTTTGTCAAAAAAGTAACTCAGTTACTAACTGAGTTACAAGATCATAAAAGTAACTAATTACCAACAAAAGTAACTACTTAGTTACTTTTTTCATTAAAGAATGCAAGAATTACTACAATAGTAAAATATAAATGACTAATGACTGGAACATAATAAAATGTATGTCCAAATGTTTTATATAAACCTGAATAATTTAAACAAATACGCACTTAACAGGAGGAACTACTAATAGGAACATTACACGTATCTAGACTATTAAAAGGTCACTGTGTGATATTTAACAAAAACCCAATCAGCTAAAATTTAAAATTGCAAATAGAAACACCTGTAAAGGTTCCCGAGCCTTTAAATGGTCTCTCAGTCTAGTTAAATTACAGAAAAAAAATGTAATTTTGCACAGTATTCTAATTTTTCCAGCTTCACATAATTGTGTGTTTTTAGTAGCATTTCTGTTGCTGGTAATCTAGTAACTGTTAAATAAATAAATAAATATCCTTTAAAATGACACTAGAAGAGGAACAAGCCTGATGGAGGACTTACATTTACAGGTGCTGGCCAGTAAATTAGAATATCATCAAAAGGTTGAAAATATTTCAGTAATTCCATTCAAAACGTGAAACTTGTACATTATATTCATGCAATGCACACAGACCAATGTATTTCCAATGTTCATTACATTTAAATTTGATATTCATAAGTGACAACTAATGAAAACTCCAAATTTGGTATCTCAAAAAATTAGAATATTCTGAAAAGGCTGAATATAGAAGACACCTGCTGCCACTCTAATCAGCTGATTTACTCAAAACACCTGCAAAGGCCTTTAAAAGGTCCCTCAGTCTTGTTTTGAAGGCACCACAATCATGGGGAAGACTTCTGACTTAACAGCTGTCCAAAAGACAATCATTGACACCTTGCACAAGGAGGGCAATACACAAAAGGTGATTGCTAAAGAAGCTGGCTGTTCGCAGAGCTCTGTGTCCAAGCACATTAACAGACAGGCGAAGGGACGGAAAAAATGTGGTAGAAAAAAGTGTACAAGCTCTAGGGATAACCGCACCCTGCAGAGAATTGTGACGACAAACCCATTCAAAAATGTGGGGGAGATCCACAAAGAGTGGACTGCAGCTGGAGTCAGCGCTTCAAGAACCACCACGAGGAGACTCATGAAAGACATGGGATTCAGGTGTCGCATTCCGTGTGTCAAGCCACTCTTGAACAAGAAACAGCGCAAGAAGCGTCTCGCCTGGGCCAAGGACAAAAAGGACTGGACTGATGCTGAGTGGTCCAAAGTTATGTTTTCTGATGAAAGCAAGTTCTGCATTTCCTTTGGAAATCAAGGACCCAGAGTCTGGAGGAAGAGCGGAGAAGCACAGAATCCACGTTGCATGAGGTCCAGTGTAAAGTTTCCACCGTCAGTGATGGTGTGGGGTGCCATGTCATCTGCCGGTGTTGGCCCACTCTGTTTCCTGAGGTCCAGGGTCAATGCAGCCGTCTACCAGGAAGTTTTAGAGCACTTCATGCTTCCTGCTGCTGACCAACTTTATGGGGATGCAGACTTCACCTTTCAACAGGACTTGGCACCTGCACACAGTGCCAAAACCACCAGCACCTGGTTCAAGGACCATGGTATCCCTGTCCTTGATTGGCCAGCAAACTCGCCTGACCTTAACCCCATAGAAAATCTATGGGGTATTGTGAAGCGGAGGGTGCAATACGCTAGACCCAACAATGCAGAGGAGCTGAAGACGACTATCAGAGCAACCTGGGCTCTCATAACACCTGAGCAGTGCCACAGACTGATCGAGTCCATGCCACGCCGCATTACTGCAGTTATTGAGGCAAAAGGAGCCCCGACTAAGTATGAGTGCTATACATGCACATTCTTTTCATGTTCATTCTTTTCAGTTGGCCAACATTAGAGAAACAAACATTTTTTCATTGGCCTTTAGAATATTCTAATTTTCTGAGATACCAGATTTGATGTTTTCATTGGTTGTCACCTATAAATATCAAAATTAAACGTAATAAACATCGGAAATACATTGGTCTGTGTGCATTGCATGAATATAATGTACAAGTTTCACGTTTTGAATGGAATTACTGAAATATTTTCAACCTTTTGATGATATTCTAATTTACTGGCCAGCACCTGTACTAACTTGGGTCAGACCCAACCACAGAAGAGCTGAAGCTGGGTGGTAAACACACACAGGCAGTTCTAATAACACCTGAGCTCCATGCCGTCTGAGACTGATGCATCAGTGTTACAGCGGGACTAAAGACATGATCAGGAACAGGTTACAGCTGGATGATCTAGGAAGGCAGAAGATCAGGACGTCTGAGCGGTGAACAGGTGAGCGGACCTTCGGGACGTCCCGCTGTCACGCTAAGAAGAGCACGGCTGCAGACCCGCAGATTCGCTGCTGCAGCAACAAGTCTGCGGGGGGTCTGCAGATATTCATCACGTCTTCCTCGTTCTTCACGGGCCGTGACGCTCTTGGATGAAAACATCTACCTCTTTAGCTCCTGATCAGCTGATGATGACAGCTTCAACACACCGCGCTGCTTAACGCACGTATTTTCTTATCAGTAACAGAAACGATGTTTTGATAAAAGAAGACGTAATTAATTAGTTTGCTCGTTACAGAATGAAATATTTTTTATTAACGCGGTTATTTTAAACGGAGTTATTCCCGTTGGGTCTACAGCAGGCAGCGACTGAGACAGTGAGGGTCTCCGCCCACCCGGCCAATCATCGTGTTTGTTATCATCATCGAGCCGCACAAACCATAAACGCTGCGAGTTGTGAACCGCGTTCCAGCCGCGAGCCGCATCACCGCGCGGAAAGTGAATGCGTCAAGCATAAACCAAGCTTAAGTGTGTTACCGACACCTCTCTCTCTGGCTGCAGCTGAAGTGTGGCGGTCAGAAAGCCTCACACTGCTGCTCAACGTTTGACAAGCACATAGTAACGCACAACCTTCCGTCCCCAGTAACGGTAACGGCGTTGCAACGGCGGGAAAAGTAATTAATTAGATTATTCCGTTACCTATTAAAGAACGCCGTTAGAAACACCGTTATACTTAAAGGTGCCTTAGGCAGTTTTGAAATTTTATGCTCGCTATTGCCCCCTCAGGCCAAAGGTGTAACTGCAGCTTCAATAGTAGGCTCGTGCACGAGGCGCGCGTGCTATATGTGCACGCTCCCGAACAAAAACAGCTGCGTCAGCCCCGTACCGGTGTAATTTACAGGTTTGCCGGCATGACTTCGACAGAGGTAATAATTGTAAAATATTTAGACCAAATCAATTTGGGCTGCATATTTTCCAGGTTGTGATAGGTGCATGCACAGCAAAGTGAGTTGAGTGAGGAAGCATAATAATACCGATATATGAATACATTATGTATGATGTTGAAAAAAATACTAGTACACAAATTATGCCTAAACGTAGGCCCTATTGTAATATTAAAATAATTGCACTGGTAGTTAATAAGCACTTTACTGGTTGCTACTTGACAAGTACAGGCCATTTACTAGAAAAAAAATCATGTGATGGACTGCTACATTTTTTCTTTTACTAGAGTAAAAATACATAGAGGTACTGCTACTATAACTTGAGTGCACCTTTTGTGTACTCTACCCACCTCTGCTTTTCTTTTGCATCCAGGTAAAGATCGTCTTAGCAACATTATTTTCATCAAATGTAAATACACCATTACCTAAATGTTTTATGGATTATTCCAGCAAAGCTTTTGTAAAACATGCATTCCATCACATCAACGTGTAAACCTTATTACTTTTCCTTCAAGGAATCCAGTGCATCTCATTACTCCGAAGTTTCTGAAGAGAGTAGTGATTCTGGAGGGGGCAGAGGGAGAGCAGGCAGAAGAGCAGGAAGAGGAGCAGGAAGAGGAACAAGGAGAGGAGCAGCCAGAGGGAGAAACATATATGAAAGTACAGGCCGGGGGAGAAGCCAGGCTAGAGGAAGAAGAGCTAGAGCTGGACGCATTAGTGAGGAAGACAGAGAACGGGTTGCTCAGATGTCTGCTGACAGAACTGCAGAGTTACAGGTTGGTCATAATGCAGAACACTAATACATTTCACAATCATAAAGTTTATAAAATAAATGCTGCCTTTCGTTTTCAGGTACAGTTGCAACACCTAAGTATGGATGAAAAAGATGAAGTCCTTCAGATGGTTGTTAGACGTCTGCCAGGAGTGTTACTGGACATTATGGACTATAGACAGGCCACACCAGGACACCCTCCATCAAACCAGGGTCAGCCAGCTTGGTGCACCTGCTCCTACTGCCGAATGATGCCTACAGACCTGGAAAACAAGTGCTGTAGACAGGATCCAGAATGGTGTTTGAGCAGGCGTGCTCATTTTAACCTGTACTGCATGGATGAAGGCATCCTGCGTTTGGCTCGGCAGACGTGGAATGACATTTTGGCTCTGCGTGATAGCCAAGACCCTGGATCAGATAATCGGGAGTACCGTTACTGTGCCTATAGACAGTACACTATTTGGCAATATGGACGTCTTGGCGCTGGCAATCGTAGGGTGATTCCTTCCTGCTGTGTTTGGAGGATTAGAGACAAATACCCTGACCACTTTGGGATTTATGTTGGTTATAAAGAAGCCCCCTTCCGCTGAAACAAACATGCAACTCATGACCAACTCAGAAGTTTGACTTACTTGTATTGTTGTTGCAAACTTTTTGTACATATTTACATAAATAAATCTGTAGTGTTCAACTTTGATTGCCATCAGCCTCTGTTTGGGTATCACATAAGTCCTGTAAAAAACAAAAATTACATTTATGTAATTTTCTTCCACAAAAATGGAGAGGAGATTTGGTTATAATCACTACCTGTCCTCTGCATTGTTGTGTCTGTACCAGTTCAGCTGTAGGAAGAGGGCTGATCCCGGAGAGAGGACCCAGGGCCCTGGGGTCATCAGCCTGAATGCTTCTTCTTTTTGGGAGTCCCCCAGCAGAGCTGAGGCGCTTCTCCAGGATTCTTGTCTGCAGCTCTGGGATGTAGCCGTAGTCTTTGGTCTCCTTTACAGTGTGAACACTGTAACGCTGCGACTTTTTGTTGTAGACTCGTTTGTGTCTAAAAAAATGAATTTAGACATTAGGAAATTATATAAAGGTATTATGAATATATAAAAGCCACCAAGTTTGACTTACGATACTTCGCCTTTGATGTTCACATGCACTGGGCGATGGTTATGGTGGTTGTAGTCTAATGCAGCGAGGAGTGTCCTAGCTTCATAGACACCAAATGAGAATGCAAAGCGTTTCCCGGCGTACATCAAGATGTGATTTTGGAACGACTCCAGCTCAGCAGTGGTCCTGGGGGAAAAAAACAATGTCTGTAGAAGAAATAAATTCTAACTCAGCGCAATATAATATACTTTGTGGTAGGTATTACAACATTACAGATACTGGAATCAGGGCAATACCAATCTAATGTCCTCATGTGTGTAGTTTACAGATAACAAGAACCAATACTAAAAATGTAGAAACAGCAGTATTTTCATCTAAAATATTAATTTTCAGATAAAATTTCATATTAGTGGTTGTTTATTTGTGTTTTACATTTTATCTAAATCTTCTTCAATTGTAGCACCAGGCAGAGAAGACAATAAAACCGGTCTTCTGCTTCATTGCATTGTTTGGTGTGGTATAAGTAACTGTTATGGTACTTGTTATTGGAAAGAACTCAGATGCAAGTGCAGAGATTGTATTAGTTAGAAAAAAGCTGCATTGTTGTTTTCCAATTTTGTTTTACTGTTAGTAAGACAATAACTTCACATTTCCACCAAATGTCAGTAATTTACCTAAAGGTGAGCAACTTCTCTATATCCTTTAGCCATCGCTGGTTCAGAACAATCCGTGAAAGCGCCACATGTGCAGCAGATCCATGTGGAATGAGCTCTTTGTCTGGGTTCTCCGCCAAAGGAGCATGAAAGCACCTGCCAAAGCCCCATTCATGCTCTCCAGTCACGTGGTGAAGTACACCCTTCCAGACATCCTAAAAACACACAAAGTAGAAAATACAAACATTTACATCGTGAGTAGAAAAAGATAATGAACCATGGCAGCAAATATAAACAAAAACATTACGTTAGTGGACGACTGTATACATGAATACTGTGTTTGTACAAACCATAAACTCTTCTCTGGTGCTTGTGTGCTGACAAGCATACCAAAAATGGTTAACAATGTCCTTGATCCATCCAAGTATAAGCTTTTGACCAGAAATCATTCCAACCTGTTTGAAGGCAAGAAAAACTAGTAATTAAAATAAAGTCTGAACAAGCCAGGATTATTACCATCATAATACATTTTGACATACAGCATGAAGTTTCTTTGTCAGATTTTTTGCGGCGTGCCAGACATCAAGCGAATGGGTAATAGCCTGATCCTTATATCTGCCCCGTTCTGGATCTGGTCAGAAAAAATTAAAAACAGTCTTTTAACAATCTGGTTTCCAATTACCAGTAAAAACTCTGAAGTTTTGTGAAAATCTTACGCATGAGGGCAGCAATTTGTACATGGGCATCAGTCACAATCTCCTTGATGTTCACCTCCTTTGTGAGACTGTCAAATGTCTGTATAAAGGCAGCCTTCTCCATGACCCCACTTTTATAGCCAACCCAAAATACAAACAAAACCAAAAAAAAGTGGAAATGGCGCTTCACACATATTTCACATTCCTACAGTTGTACTGCTTCCTCATTAACATAAGTGGCAAGCATTAGAACATAAACTCACCCACTCAATTATCAAAGCTGTACCTCTCGGACGTGACTTTACATGAAAAGGAGGATGGCCATCACAATATGTGCCTGTGCTGTGGTCACTGTAGTGGCATTTACTGAGAGGCAGTTGGAGGAAATTGGCCATCTGGAGCAAGCTTTTGCTGTATGCTATGCACGCTTGCTGGTTTATGAGGTCACTTTCAACAAGCACGTGATCGTGTATTGGGAAAACTGGAATGGATGCTGCTGATGGTGCTTCTAAATTCTCTTCCAAATCTGCCTCCACACAATCAGCAATGTCAAATACAGCTTCATCCAGGCCAATGCTAGGAAGTTGGTCAACTTCATCCTGTGAGACACACCTATTGCACAAGATTTTTTTATATATATAATCAGTGAATAGAAAGTGAGAGTGGGGATGTTACTACTTATTTAAAAAATTCAATTATGAAACATACCTTATTGATATTGGAGGTACATAATCTGAGTCATACGGGTCTAAAGCTCCTTCTCCTTCAAACTCTAATCTGGAATTAAATACAGCAGCAAAATATGACAATATATACTGACATATATCATTTCAATGACAATAATTTGTTACTTACAAACTGTTTTCCAAACTATTGGCTCTTTCCTCGTCTAAATAGTCCACTTTCAGCTCCATCGATTTGATGCTACAAAAACAAACAGAATACATTAATTATGAAAACAGAGGGTATGCATCAAATGATTAAAAGCCCTGCATATTTACCTTTCCTCCAACAATTCTACCTCTTGATCTGCTTTTAGAGGTTCAACTCCTGCGATCTGGAAGTCATCCCTGTTGACAAGTACACAGTATTTATTTTATTTGATGTGGAGAACAATTATCTGACAAATGAGTTGCATTTTGTTTACAAGTGAACTTACCTATCAGATTCCCCTGCAGTTACTGAACTGGGGCGACAAGGACCTGCAAACACTGCTGTAGATGGCCCACGTGGTGTTGATGTAAGTGGTCCCTTTGATGAAGCGTGCTTCTCATAACTAAAAAAGTAAAGCAACTTTTAATACTCCAGTCATGTGTACACGTTAACAATTGAGATTCTGTTATATAAACAATAGATTTGATTAGCGACGCAGTTTTACAAAGTTTAGACTTCTTTTACACAATTCTAGTACATTACACTAACAATATACTGTAATTTCCGGCCTAAAAGCCACTATTATTTCCCTGTGCTTTGAAGCCTGCAGCAAATATCATGGTGCGGCTCTAAACTTGCAGGCACGTTCACCCGTGTTTAAAATTCGTTTTTGTGAATTAAAACAACAACGAAAAAATTCCGTGTAGCGTCTTTCTGTCTAATTATCTTGTGTTATGACCAAACATGCGCTGTGCGCCAGCTTGTATTTGGGTGCTGGTGTGTAGAAAACACTTTTTTTTTTTTGCTGATGCGGCTGGAAATAGGTAATCTGATGTGTAGACGCTAGACAAGCAGCCTATAAATGTTATGATATACGGAAACCCCCCAGCTTACTTTGAAAGCATCCACAGCCCTTTCCCCACACGTGTTTAGTAATAATTTCTTACCTTTTCAGCAAAAATGATGCCAGCTGCGGGTGTGTTCTCATCCTGAGAGACTTTCTCAGCATTTTCCACTCCTCAAATGCTGGACCGATATTTATCCTCGTTCGTTGCCTTCGGCGATCATACTCGAGTTTTGCCCGTTTACCTGCGCTGGAATACACTCTTCTTGGTTTCTTTGACTTGTTTGGGGTCTGGGCTGGAGTTCCGCTAGTGCTTGAAGCAGCTCTCTTCTTGTTCTTTGCTGAATCCATGCTAGCTAAACCACCTCTCGCTCTGCCGCTAAGCTATCGCTAGTAAACAAACGCTGCGGGGATAGGCCTGAGCGTGAACGCGCATGACGTCATCACGCATTACGCTGCCTCTGGAAGACCCAGGAAGGCCCGGGGTAAGCCTGCCTGCTGGACCCGAGCAAAATCTTATTTTTGATTTTAAAGACCTATAGAGACAATCACAGTAAAATGCCAGGGCTCATTCTACAGAACCAGGGCATTGCAGGAGAATGTTTTAAGAAGAAATGTTTTATTTCTATACATGTTCTGGCTGTAAAACTTGCCTATAGTCCCTTTAAACGGCGTTACTCCCAACACTGTCTATCACCCCTTAAAAATGTGCAAAGTGATTTAGTCCACACCAGCGGCCAGGGACTGCACGGCCGCATGTACAGCTATGAGACATCGCAGATGCCGACAGCCAGAGCTGGAGGCAGGAGAGTCAGTCATGTCTTTTCCCAAGAAAGGGAAATTTGGCTTCCAGAAAAGAAAAGAAAAGGAGAAAAAGTTAATTGAACAGAAGCAAGTATTGACTAGGTTTTTCAAGAAGGAAGGTGAGCAGCAGCAGCAGAACACAGTTTTAGCTGATATTAGCTAGCTCTCAGAAGCTGCATTCATGTTAGGTGTTCAGTGTTAAACGCCTTTAGTTTCACCATCAAGATCAAATATAAATTAATTATTGTTATCAGTGAAAACACTAATATATATATATATATTATATATATATATATATATATATATATATATATATATATATATATATATATATATATATATATATATATATATATATATATAAATCAGAATTATCGCGGGCGGCCGCCGCCAATTAATTCGCGGACCTCGCAGTAAAAACAGGTTCACTCTGTGTGGATATTTCAGCTCCTTCCCAGTCATGGACCAGGACAAACTTGGTATCGATGGATTAGCGGTAATCTCAGGAATGTGAAGCTGCCACTGTTTTTTGTATAGCATGATGACACTGGTGTTAGAGGATTGTTATTGACTTGGTTAGATATTTTAAGCCTATTTTAAATTTCTTTATATTTGATCTTGAAAACGGACAATCTTATAATTTGGCTGATAATGCAGGGATTATAAAATTTAGAGTACATTACATTCACAGAGAGAACCTGGTTTATTTCATGTCATATGTATTTAATATATCAATATATATCAGTATTAGCAAAGCTTAACATCATGAACCATGACAGACATGACTGAAGAGCAGATGAAGATATCATGCCAGGCACTGATGAGAAAATATTACAAGGATCTCACAGCTGAATTTGAGAATGAGATGCTACACCTGAGAACAATATATGGTGCCACATTTCCACACATTCGGTCTCCTCTTGAGCTGCTTAATGCCATCTACAGGATGCAATTACAGAGCATTTTTGGATAAGTTTGTATTGGACTGAGGATATTTTGCACACTACCTGTGACTGTTGCTGGGGTGAACGGGCTTTTAGCAAACTGAAACTGAATTATTTGAGATCAACAATGTCCCAGGATAGACTGAACAGCCTAGCTCTTCTTTCTATTGAAAGCCAATTAGCCAAAGGATTGGACTTTAAAGATCTCATAAGTGATTTTGCTAACATGAAGACCCGTCAGTGGGCATTTACTGGAAAATAAATTCCAGGATTTTTGTTTGAACACATTGTTGGCAAATAAAAATAATTGTATGTGAAGTCTGGGCATTTCACTTTTATTATGCTGGCATTTGTATTTGCTCAATATAGAGGTTAAACTAAGATCATATTTATTATCTTGTCTTATAGCATGACAAAAAATGTGTAAGAGAGATATTAAGTAATTGAGAATGGGGGCCCACCTAGAAGACTTGTACCTAGGAGCCAGAATTTGGTGCTACGCCCCTAACTTCAGCTACCAGGCCCAGGTTCTGCTTCAGCTACCAGGTCCAGGTTCTTCTCCAGCTACCAGGCCCTGGTTCTGCTCCAGCTACCAGACCCAGGTTCTGCACCAGCTACTAGGCCCAGGTTCTTCTCCAGCTACCAGAGCCAGGTTCTGCTTCAGCTACCAGGCCCAGGTTCTGCTTCAGCTACCAGGACCAGGTTCTTCTCCAGCTACCAGGCCCAGGTTCTGCTTCAGCTACGAGGCCCTGGTTCTTCTCCAGCTACCAGGCCCAGGTTCTGCTTCAGCTACCAGACCCTGGTTCTTCTCCAGCTACCAGGCCGAGGTTCTGCTTCAGCTACCAGGCCCAGGTTCTTCTACGGCTACAAGGCCCAGGTTCTGCTCCAGCTACCAGACCCAGGTTCTGCTTCAGCTACCAGACCCAGGTGCTGCTTGAGCTACCAGGCCCAGGTTCTGCTCCAGCTACCAGACCCTGGTTCTGCTCCAGCTCCCAGACCCAGGTTCTGCTCCAGCTACCAGACCCAGGTTCTTCTCCAGCTACTAGGCCCAGGTTCTGCTCCAGCTACCAGACCCAGGTTCTGCTCCAGCTACCAGACCCAGGTTCTGCTTCAGCTACCAGGCCCAGGTTCTTCTCCAGCTACCAGGGCCAGGTTCTGCTCCAGCTACCAGACCCAGGTTCTGCTTCAGCTACCAGACCCAGGTTCTTCTTCAGCTACCAGACCCAGGTTCTGCCTCAGCTACCAGGCCCAGGTTCTTCTCCAGCTACCAGACCCAGGTTCTGCTTCAGCTACCAGGCCCAGGTTCTTCTCGAGCTACCAGACTCAGGTTCTGCTCCAGCTACCAGGCCCAGGTTCTGTTTCAGCTACCAGACCCAGGTTCTTCTCCAGCTACCAGACCCAGGTTCTGTTTCAGCTACCAGGCCCAGGTTCTGCTCCAGCTACCAGGCCCAGGTTCTGCTCCAGCTACCAGACCCAGGTTCTGCTCCAGCTACCAGGCCCAGGTTCTGCTCCAGCTACCAGGCCCAGGTTCTGCTCCAGCTACCAGGCACAGGTGCTGCTTCAGCTACCAGACCCAGGTTCTGCTTCAGCTACCAGACCCAGGTTCTGCTCCAGCTACCAGGCCCAGGTTCTGCTCCAGCTACCAGGCCCAGGTTCTGCTCCAGCTACCAGGCCCAGGTGCTGCTTCAGCTACCAGACCCAGGTTCTGCTCCAGCCACCAGGCACAGGTTCTTCTCCAG